ATTTGAGATTGTATGATGCTGTGAGTCATTTCGTGATGAATCGTATTTGAACTATTGAATCATTGCGAATTGTGAATGAGTAAATTATTTCTTGAAGAATTTTCATGGTAATCAATGTTTTGTGAAAGTAGAGATTTCTTAAATTCATTAAATTATATTGTATTGATTACTGAACTGTGGTGAGTTGTGAGATTTAATTATTCATTGAATCGGTGAAATTTGATAATGCAGTGAATCACTTCATAAGGAATTGTAATTCAATGAAATTCTTGCAAATTTTGTGGGTATCATAATTCACAGAATCGAATTTGTAAAGAATTGTAATTTGAGGTTTCACTATTTAATAAATCATTTTCTAAAGATTCATTTGGGCTATTGAACTGTTGTAAAATTAGATATTTCATGTTTCATGATTCATTGATTCAATGTAATCTAAATAAAACCATGATGTAGTTTGAAATTGCATAATACAGTGAATTCTTTCCAAAATCAAATTGAATCGAATTGTGAATTTTTTTATTTAATTTCCTAAAAACTCATAATGGCTATTAAATTGTGAAACTTGAGATTTCCTGATTCATGATTCATTGTAATCTAAACAAAATCATGGTGTAGTCTGAGATTGCATGATACAGTGAATTCTTTCGTAAATCCAATTAAATCGAATTGAATCACTTTGGTAAAGAGTTATCATTTTGAATCATGGTATCATTTGAGATTTGAGACTTCATGATGTGGTGAATTATTTCTGTATGATATAAATTGAATATATAACCAGTTCAGCGGTGAATGATCTCACAGGAGGGCGTTTGCTAGACATGGATGGACGGTTGGACGGTCATGAACTCTTAGTTTTTAAAGCCCTCTCTGCTCTCGTCTCAGACATTTCATTTAGCTCTGTTCTTTCACAGGGTATAGCTCATTTCAGCTTGGCCTGGTGATCGCATACACACATGCGCACACACACACGGACTTGTGCTCATTTCTTGCAGGAGCTCATTCTAACACAATCGATATTGAGAGAAATGCAAGGGGACAGTCAAAACACAACACGCTCTCGCTCTCTCTCTCTCTCTCTCTCTCTCTCTCTCTCTCTCTCTCTCTCTCTCTCTCTCACTTGCTTTCTAATGACTTTGTTTGCAGCTGTCAGTGTTAGATGAATTCTGCACCTGCGAATGAAATTAATTTCTAATAACAGATATTGACCACACACTCTCACACACACACACACTCTCACACACACACACACACACTCTCACACACACACACACACACACACACACTCTCTCACACACACACACACACACACTCTCACACACACACACACACACACACACACTCTCTCACACACACACACACACACACTCTCACACACACACACACACACACACACACACTCTCTCTCACACACACACACACACACACACACACACACACACACACACACACTAAGAGCAGTAGGGGGGTCTGTTGGCATTTTTCATTTTGTGCAGCTCTGTTAACCCGACTCTTGAATCACTGTGTAAAAGCTGAGTGTGTGTGTGTGTGTGAGACAGAGAGAGAGAGAGAGAGAGAGAGAGAGAGAGATAATTGTGTGTTTAGATCGTTGGTTGGTCAGAGCAGTAATTAATAGGCCTGTGATGATAAATATTAAAACTGCTCAACCTGAAAGAGAACGTGAGGGGCGTGATGATCAAAGAGAGAGAGAGAGAGACACAGAGAGAGAGAGAGACAAAACAGAGAGAAAGAAAGACAAAACAAAGAGGGAGAGAGACGAAACAAAGAGAAAAAGAAAGACAAAACAGAGAGAGATAAAGAGGGATAACAGTGAAGACAGACAAAGCTAAAGAGGAGATGAAGTTCTGACCTGATTTTACTTGGACAGCAAAGTTTACTATTGGTCCTCTCTCTGTTTTTCCTCCCTCTCCTATGTGTGCATATATGTTGCATTCAGAAAGTCTTCAGACCCTTTCACTTTCATCACATTTTGTGTTGCGGCCCTGTTTTAAAATAAAAAAAAGTTTTTTCCCATCATTCTGCACTCAATAAAAGTGCAAACAGAATCTTAGAAGTTCTAATTTTTGCAAATTTATTAAAAAGTAAATTTCGCATGGACAGAAGTGTTCAGACCCTCCGCTATGACACTTGAAATGTAGCTCTGGGGGCCTCCCATTTCTCTTGATCATCTTTGAGATGTTTCTACACCTTGACTGGAGTCCACCTCTGGTCAATTCAGTTGATGGGCCATGATTTGGAAAGACACAAACCTGTCTATATAGGTCTTACAGCTGACATTGCATATCAGAGCAAAATCCAAGCCATGAGGAGGAAAGAACTGCCTGTAGAGCTCAGAGACAGGACTGTGTGGAGGCGCAGATCTGGAGAAAGCTACAAAACATTTCTGCTGCACTGAAAGTTCCCAAGAGCACAGTGGCCTCTATAATTCTTAAATGGAAGCAGTTTGGAACAACCAGGACTCTTCCTAGATCTGGCCACCCCACCAAACTAAGCAGTTGAGCAGAAGGTCCTTGGTAAGAGAGGTGAGCAAGAACCCAGTGGTCACTCTGGCTGAGCTCTAAAAATCCTGTGTGCAGATGGGAGAAACCTCCAGAAGGTCAACCATCACTGCAGCACTCTGGGCTTTATGGCAGAGTGGCCAGACAGAAGTCTCTCCTCGGGAAAATGAAGAAGAAAGAAACAAGATTCTCTGGTCTGATGAAACTAAGATTGAACTTTTCCTCAATTCTAAGTGTTATGTCTGGAGGAAGCCAGGCACTGCTCATCATCTGCCCAGTACCATCCTTACAGTGAAGCATGGTGGTGGCAGCATCATGCTGTTGGATTGTTTTTCAGCTGGGACAGGGTCATAACTTTTGACAAGGCCACATAACCTTTGACCTGGGTGTCCAAACCTTTGAATATGACTCTGTGTATAAGCTGTGCATGAAGGCTGGATTTGTACAGAATCCAGTCAGAATGTGTCTGATTCACCCCTGAAACTGCCACAAAAGGCTTAGTTCATCAGACCCTGAGTGTTCTGACCCATCCCTTTGGTCAGTGTGGTTAGGTTTGGATGCAGATCTATGTGTAGATGTATGTGTATGTGTGTGTGTGTGTGTGTGTGTGTGTATATATATATATATATGTATGTATGTATGTGTGTATGTATGTGTATATATGTATACATATATGTATATATAGAATATCTGTCTTTGCCTCTGATTCTCTTTTTTTCTCTTAATTAACCACTTTAGTTTTGTTATACATTTAATTTTACATTGCATAATTATGTAATTACTTTTATTATTATTCTCAAAACGTAAATGAAAATTTTATTTTTAAATTTTGAATTACAAAATGCTTATTATTTCCACAAAACAATTGTCATATAATAGTTAACATATGATAATGCAGCACTGTTTAATGCAAAAACTTTCACTTTATTACTGCTTTTTGGTCACCAAATTACCACCACGAGTCTTATTTAGCACTAATCCAGTGGTGCCCTCTTCTTGTGCTGGGAGTGAATGTCAGATGGCTCCCTGCTCCCTACTTAGTGCACTACGTAGGTATTTAAATACTGGATCCTGCAGTCCAACAGAGCAAAATACAGCTAAGAAATACTCATTTGGGACAATCATATCATAGGTACTGTAACTCAAGGCTGTGATATTAATGATGGAGTTGTTTAGCCTGGTAACTAGCTGACCAGCCTAGTCCTAATTTAATTTAGAGAATAAGTTGTCAGCCCCTCAGTTTAAACAGAAACTTACTTCGTCAGTACACTCGGTGCTCCATGTGAGCAGCATTAGAGTGAAAGTTTAATCCATGAACAGCACAAGGGTTTTTCGTGGCGCATTAATACAGAGTACAGTTGCTGTGAGGCGGTCGGTGTGTGTGTGTGTGTGTGTGTGTGTGTGTTGTGTATTATACAACAGCTTCAGGACTGGAACTATCCATTTTATAATGGGACATAACCTGTCATGACAGCTCATTGACAGCATACATCTACTACATGTTTATGGCATAGTTATATCAATGTTATGTAGCAGGGTTCAAGTAAAGTTTTGCTTAAAATCACAACATTGATATTGCTACAGATAACAAAGGTAAAAGTATCCGTACTAGCATGGCAGTATCAGTTACAGTAAGGCCAAGTAATGTGACACACATGGCTCTCTATGTGTGTAATGTTGAGCTGCTAGTGAGCAATAGCCACATTTACATGCAGCCGCTAATAATCTAATAGCTCAATCAGAATAGAATAAGTCCATGTATACACCTCAGTCAGACTAGACTAGTCCGATTGAGGCCACACAGAATATAATTTCTATCCTATTGAACGAGGTGGGTAATCCTGTAAATAATCTGTTAAATAGAAGAATAATAACCATGTAAACGTTTTCCTGAGTCTGACATCATTTTAAAGCAATAAAAACACAAGCACTGCTCACTGCTGCTCATCTCACTCTGACTGGACTCACATGATGCTGGTTGTCATGGTAACGTCTGCACAAAGTGGTGCTCTATGCAAGCATGTAATTTTGGATCAGATTACTTGTAGTGAGCATGTAAACAGAGATTTTCCATCAGATTGTTGTAGAGTGAGCATAAAAACACCTCAGTCTTAATCTATAATTGGAATGTATTCAATTGGATTGGCAAAAATGTTTGCATGTAAACACAGACAGCTTTAATACATGTTGACTTGCATGGTCACCTACAAAGGAACTCCATTTCTCTTTATTTACATACCCATCGTACATATATTCCATCCGTGTTATCAAAGAAAAACATATGCTTTTGTACACTGAGGAAACAGGCAGCATTTGCATTGAAAATGGGGGTAAGTTACATTGTGAATTTAGCTCAGTTTGATGCTTTAGCCTTTACACCAACACTAGCATCACGCTACATAGGTGACTAATGCAAACCATTTCAGCTGAAAGTATTAGTTTAATTACAGCCAAAACAATCTCTCTTGCTCTTTTTCTCTGCAGACTGCTGTTACAGAGGGACTACAGTTTTTTGAGGGATATAAACCTCTGGCACCCTTTCGTCACCATCGGTGTGTATTGCTCCACCCTCTCCGCTGCCATGAGTAACCTGATCGGAGCGTCCCGTATCCTCTACGCCCTCGCGCGAGATGATCTGTTTGGTGAGCCACCCACTTCCACACATTCAACTGCAATCCTTTTACGTGACCATCAAACAAGTATGCTAACAACACCTTAGCAACCATCTGGGTTACTATAGCAACAGCCTAGCAACACCTTAACAACCAATAGTGATAGCATAGCAATGGTCTTGCAACACTTTAGCAACCACCTGAAATATTGTACCATTTGGGATGCTTCGTTGTGACAGTGTTATGCTCACCCTGCTGTGTGGAGGCTAAACTTTAACCTGGCTAGCTCTCACTGTGAGTTATGTTTATGCTTCAAAGTGATGCTGTGCTACAGACGGCAAGATGTATTCATAGATTTAAAATAATATAGGTGTAAACTCTATGTAGGTGTGATTTATACACACAGGTATCTGAAATACCTGAAAATGAAATGAGTTACTATGGTCATCACAGTAGGCTGTAGGCTGGTGGGGCTTTAAGGATAAATTTTAAGGAATTTACATATAAATTGTGGATATGTGAAGCTCTTTGAGACCCCTGCTCTGTGCTCTCTGGAAGTCCTAGATACACTATATGGACAAAAGTATTGGGACACCTACACATTACATCTACAGGAGCATTTATGTCATCCCATTCTAAATCCATAGGCATTAATATGGAGTTGGTCCTCCTTTGCAGCTAAAACAGCTTCCACTCTTCTGGGAAAAGTGTGTCTATGGGAATTTTGTCCATTCGTCCAGAAGAGCATTTGTGAGGTCAGACACTGATGTGGGACTAGAGGGCCTGGCTCGCAATTTCCGTTCTAGTTCATCCCAAAGGTGTTGATGGGGTTGAGGTCAGGGCTCTGTGAGGGCCAGTCAAGTTCTTCCACACCAAACTCACCCAGTCAGGCCTTCATGGAGCTGCTTTGTGCTCTGGGGCTCAGTCATGCTGGAACAGAAAAGGTTCTTCCCCAAACTGTTCCCACCAAGTTGGAAGCATATAATTGTCCAAAATGTCTTTTTCTACTGAAGCATTAAGATTCCCCTTCACTGGAACTAAGGGTTCTAGACCAACCCCTGAAAAACAACCCCATATCATCATCCCTCCTCCACCAAACTCTACAGCTGGCACAGTGCAGTCAGGCAGGTAATGTTCTCCTGGCATTCACCAAGCCCAGACTCGTCCGTCAGACGTTTGCGGTGGTGGTGTGCTTTACAAGGTGTGCCCCAGTACTTTTGCTTATGTAGTGTATGTCATTGAGTGTGAATACGAGCCAGGTTTCAGTTAGTTGTTTGGAATGAACAGCAGCAGCTCTATACCAGGGCTCTTTACTGACTCACTGTAAAACTGCTACAAGTTAAAATGTCAGCCAGCATCCATGTTAGGTCTGTGGCCACCATCCCCAGCTCAGCAGTAACATAGTGCCAGGAGAAATTAGCAGAAAACAGCATTATGCTGAGGTGTTTTGACCTTTATGACCCAAACTGAAGGCCTAGCTCTAATTGTCACGGCGCATCTCTGGACATACATTGATCAAGTGTCCATACTTTTCACTTCTGTGGTCATTTGAGAAAGTGTGTTCTGCTGTGACTGAAGCTGTGTTAGATGTAGTGTGTGTGATGTTGAGGCTAGTTGTGCTATAATTTGCTTCTGAGTCACAGAGCGCTAATGATGAAAATTGTTCACTTCTGTGAGCACCCACAGCTTCTTAAAAGATGACCAGACCATGTGAAGGTGGACTTCTCTTTGAACCTGGATGATTCATCGCTCCGGCATGCCTTTTCTTAAGTCTATTTTAGTCTGTTTTGGTGCACAGTTGCTGATTTGCAAGGAAAAAAAAAACAAGAAAAAAGTTGTTTACTCAGTGATAAAAGCCTTGCAAAATAAACTAACTGGACACTTTATTAGAAACCTGTCCTTTTGGAGCTCCTCTTTGGTGATGTGCTTTTAGAGACTGTAGCTCATCTGTTCCTGCACATATTGGGTTAACCAGCCACAAGTGGGCCGAGAAGCACCCTCTAGTGGTCCTTTGGCTTGTAGTGGGTCAGTAACAGCCATGGGTCATAGTGTGTTGGTAACAGCCAAGTTACCAACCCTGCATTCACACCGGCAGCGACGCGGCGTGACAAGACAAAGAGGCTGAAGGCCATTTATTTTCAGTGAAAGCTGGCAATTGCTGACGACAGGAGGCAGCGCGAACGTTGGTGACTTGATGTGGGCGGAGTCAGCGACGTGACAAAGTTGAGTGGAGTTTAAATTTATGCAAAAAATACTTCACATGTCCTTATTAAAGAAGGCCGAGAGGAAGACGTCGTGTCCTGAGACACATAAGCTGGACGTCCGTCCCACCGCCGCCTTTTAAAGATCAGAGCATAAACTTCGTCTCCTCTGCAGACCAGTTTCTGCTCCGCCATGTTGAACGGTATAAACTTTCACTATGACGTGACGAACATGATCAGAACGGACTCAAACTTTCTGATAGGGAATGTAATCAGATACAGGCGTTTACACGGATATTATTCTTCTATTTAACTGATTATTTACAGGATTACCCACCTCGATCACTCGGATAGAAGTTGTATTCTGAATGGCCGATTTAAGGTGTGTACATGGATGTATTCTATTCCAACTGAGCTATTAGTCGGAATATTAATGGATTATTAGGCTGCATGTAAACATGGCAACTGTTAATCCTAATTGATTAATACTGGATTAGTTTTTAGCTGAGATGATTGATAACATAAATGGGTTCTTACATAGCATGATGTTTAATAGGCTTTCGGGCCTTTTAGTTTGTATACGCTCAGTATGTGACTGCGTGTCAGCAGTGGTCCTGTGGTCAGAAACTGACCGGTGATGAATGGTGTGTAGAGGGGTGATAAATTCTGCAGCAACAGATAAGCTACAGTCTTTAATTGTACACGTGTATGTTGGACCTATAAAGTACTGTGCAAAAGTCACAGTGACCATTATGTATGAGTTATTTATGTTTCACGAGGTATTTCTGAGGAGATTAGATATAAATCCACTGGTGCAAGAAAGGGGAAAGTTGAAAGGAAGTTCATAAAATGAATAAAAGATAAATAAAACGAATAAATGAATAAAAGAGAAAATGGGATTCCGAACAACCACCCGCAAGACCCAGGAGACTTTCTGTAAAAAGACATCTCAATGTTAAGGGCACAAAAGAAGCTGCTGGTGTTCTCAGAACAATGGACTGAGTCCAGACTTCTGCATCACTGCATGTGTTTGGATTGTGAGAAGCAGAAAACGCAACCAACTTCTAAGAATGAACTTTTGAAAGTATAGAAAAAAATCTCTGCAGGTAAAGCAAGTTAAGTTGTACTGGAAATAAAGGGTGGTCTCTGACTTCTGCATAGCACAGTAGGTCAAATAAAACGACCACATAGTTCAAAGTGGATGCCTTTGGGTTGCAGCCATATGCCTGTGTATAATCTGCTGAACTAGATGTTGGACATTGTCTTTTGATGGATGGATGAGGATAACCGAGTGCAGTACTGAGTGTCTGACTCTCTTTGCCCTTCACCTGCAGTCTACTCTTCTCTCGCTCGTTCTTTCTCCTCCAGCAAGTGTGGAAAGGTCCAGCTTTTACTGGCCTTATGCAGCTATTCTTTCAGAATCTCCTTACAGTCCTTATCAATGAAAAAGATGGATTGACTCTATTAAGGTGGTATTAAAGTAGTCTTTCTTTCTTTTTTTATCTCATTCTTTCTTTCTTTCTTTGTCTCTACAGGTAAAGTCTTATCCCCAGCGAAGAAAACCTCGGCCAGTGGGAACCCCTGGGTCTCCGTGCTCATCTCCTGGTTTCTCGTGCAGGTAAGATGGAGCGAGTGATGAATGAAAGTTCTGCTTCAGGTTTTTCCACATCGTGAACAGAGTCCTTTACTGTTGTCTGGTTTCCATTGCTAATACAGCATTGAAGTTGGCGAAACTAATGCTGTGTAGGTGAGAGATCATTGATGTCGCAATAAAACCTTGTAGCTCCAAAGCTGTGCCTTTACAGAAGGTGGAGAAAAACTTTCTAAAAGCTTAATTAACATGAAGGACATTTCCATTGTTGGCCTCAGGACATCTAAAGTTAGAAAAAATTAGTTTTTTGCAGCATTGTGGTTCAGTTTTGGCAAACCGTCTTCAGTTCCTCAAGGTTGCTAGGGTCTGTTGTTACATTTTCAAAGTGGAGCTTGTCTAAGCCATGCAGGCACCTTAACATTTTTACAAATCAGTTTTGAGTTGTTTTGGCAGCATGTTTGGTGTCATTTATTTTACATCCTTTTTTTGTGAAACTTTATTCCTGTTTCCCACAATGGCATGTAATGCCCCAGTACCATTTTTGGAAAAGCAGCCCTATGTTATGATGCTTCATACTTCACTGTGGTTCTGTTTTTGGGATCATACGTGGAATCGTTCTGATTCATATGTGTCATTTTCCGAAATTAAAACTGAAATGTTTTACCATTTTTGCTTGGTATAGGATTTCAGCTGCTCAACCATTCAGGTCTCCTTTATCGTATTTTTGTTTCGTAGTATGCCAGATATTTTCAGTGGGTGACAGGTCTGGACTGCAGGGGGGGCAGTTTAGCACCTGGACTCTTTTAGTGTGAAGCCATGCTATTGTAATACATGCATGAAGTGGTTTGGCATTGATTTGCTGAATTAAACAAGGCCTTCCTTGAAAAAGACTGAATGGCAGCATAAGTTGCTCCAAAACCTGTACATGTTGTTCAGCATCAATGCTTCCTTCACAGACGTGCAAGACACCCATGCCATGTGCACTAAGGCGCCGTCATACCATCATAGATGCTAACTTTTGAACTTTGCGCTGATAACAAGCCTGATGGTCCCTCTGCTCCTTAGACCGGAGGATGCAGTGTCCATGATTTCCAAAAAGAATTTCAGTTTTGAGTTGTTGGACCACAGACAGTTTTGTACTTTGCCTCACTTCATCTTAAACGAGTTCAAGCCCAGAGAAATCGGCGGCGTTTCTGGATCCTGTTTGTATGTGGCTTCTTTTTTGGTATGATAGAGTTTTAACCTGCAGTTGTGGATGCAGCGATAAACTGTGCTCTCAGTGTTCCTGAGTCCCTGCAGTGATTTTCCACTACAGTATCATGTCTGTTTTTAATGCAGTGCCGCGTGAAGGCCCGAAGATCACAGCCATCCATGGTTGGTTTTCAGCTTTGTCCCTGGCACATTTTTCCAGATTCTTCTTTTAATGGTATTGTGTAATACAGATGAAGATAATCCCCAAGTTCTTGAATTGTTGCACTAATTTGCCTGTGCAGTCTTTCACAGAGTGGTGAACCCCTCCTCATCTTTACTTCTGAAAGACTCCGCCTCTCTGAGATGCTCTTTTTATACCCAGTCATGTTACTGACCTGTTACCGTTTAACCTAATTAGATGTGAGATGTTCCACCAGGTCTTAGCATTACACAACTACCAGTTTTTTGTTGTCCCTCTCCCAACTTTGTTTAAATGTTTTACTGGCATACATTTTTTTCAAAAAACAATTTGGAAATGGGCTTGTAGATCTGGACAACTTGAAGTGGAATATCATGAGACGCAATAGCAAAGATATGAACGACAACGCATGACCGAGATATAGAGCGATGGCTAGAGACAGTAACCCCACTGGAGTGCGATATTCTTGATTCTCCTGGGGTCTGTTTTGTCCTTCTCTTTTGTCCCCTGCCCCACTCTTCTCTCCCGCTACCTCTTTTCCTCCCTCTCTCTGTCTTCCATCCTCCTGATCAGAGCTTTACATGTTGACAATGGCGAGATCCTAATCTGAACTTGAGTGAGAGAAAGAGACTGATGGAGTGGAGAGAGTGGAAAGATGAAGGGATGGCGGGACTGAAATGAAAGTGGGGCGCTCCAGTGGAGGACAGGCTGACTGATATTGATGGCGTTTGGGTAAGCTGAGACTGATATTAAGGTGACGGGGTTGACCTGGCGATTCAACACACCAGCTCATTTGAATCTAATTAGCATTTCCCTTCACCCGATCTTCAATTAGCATTCTTTCTTCCTGTTTAAGATGCAAATGCTCCGCCCCCTGATTAGCACGCCCCTCGACCCATATCTAGAGGACTCTCTTATATCCTTATTGTATTTTGAACGCCCCTGAGTGGTTCTTTAATGCCAGTTCAGAGTGGCTCATTTGAATCTGATTAGCGGTTTCCCTCACCAAGTCTTCAATTAGCAATCTTTCTTCCTGTTTAAGATGCAAATGCCCCGCCTCCTGATTGACACATGCCTCCCCCTATCTCTAGAGGGCTCTCTCATGTCCTTATTATACTTTGAACGCCCTCAAATGGTTCTTTAATCGAAGAAGTCTATTATATATTATGGCTTCATTAGCATATCAACACCCAGCTCAAAGGTTTTTCAAATCCTGCCTGTTTTGTTCCATGCCGCATTTTTCTTTTTTCTGTCTTTTTTCTGTCTCTTCCATCCACCCAGAATAGTTCTGTGATTACAAGGGAGGCTCTTCCATTAGCCATGAAGAGCACAGCGACATGACCTGGAACACACACACTCACACATACACACACACTATATATACACACACTTTTACACACTCCGCACCTATCTGACCTGCGGTTTTGTGTTAATGCTCTGTCACGCTGTTTCATCTGCACTATTAAACTCAAGATAACCTCCATTAGTAGGACACACACACACACACACACACACACACACACACACACACACACACACACATTTACTCACACACACACACACACACACACACATAGAAGGATGAATTGAGGCATATAAAAACGGCCCTTATATTTTAACAAGTAACTCGCAGATGAGTATCTGTCCTTGGAGAGAACAGCTTGTTCAGTTATAGCACTTGTGCGTGTGTGTGTGATTGGAATTGAATAAAGGATATAAGTTCAGACTTTCTTTTTATTTAAGGGATATTTACATCCATATTGGGTGAACTGTGTAGGAATCACAGCCAGTTTTTATACACAGACCCCCATTTTTATGGGCTCAAAAGATGTCAGCTACTTTTTTTGTAAGAAAAAAATATGTAGTGTTGCTTTTTATTATCTTTATGATTCGTCCTGCAACCCCTATTTTCAAAAACGTTGGGAAAGTAAATAAAAGTAAATAAAAACTGCAATGATGTGGAAATAATTTTAAACCCCATATTTAATAGAAAAAGAACAGTTAAAACATAGCAAATGTTGAAACTTTGAAATTTCATTATTTCCATGCTCATTTTGAATTTGGTGCAACACGTTTCAAAAAAGTTGGGACAGGTGTAACAAAAGACTGGCAAAAAAAAACCTGGTGGAACATCTCACAACTAAATAGGCTGATTGGCGATTGTATAGTGGAAATCTCTGCATGTGCTCAGGGGCACTTCTGAAAACCATTGGCTGTGAGCACAGTTTGTCGCTGCATCCACAAATGCAAGTTAAACTCTACCATGCAAAAAAAGAAACAACATATATAAACAGGATCCATAAACACCGCCACCTTCTCTGGGCCCAAGCTCATCTAAGATGGATTGAGGCAAAGTGGAAAAGTCTCCTGTGGTCCAATGAATCAAAACTTGAAATTATGGACGCTGCGTCCTCTGGACTAAAGAGGAGAGAGACTATCCAGCTTGTTGTCAATGTAAAGTTCAAAAACCAGCATCCGTGATGGTATGGGGCGCATTGGTGTGCATGGCATGTAGTAGACTTGCACCATTAATGCTGAACGATGTACACAGGTTCTGGAGCAACGTATGCTGCCATCCAGATGACGTCTTTTTCTATTCTTTCTTGATATAGGATTTCAGCTACTCAACAGTTCAGGGTCTCCTTTGTCATATTTTGATTTCATAATGCGCCAAATGTTTTCATTGCGTGACCAGTCAGTGCCGAAACAGTCATGAATGAAACATTTGGTGAAGTTTCGGTGATGTTATGATTGCTTTGGTAGTGGCTATGAAGTCACTGAGAACCAAAGCAGTTTAGTCAGTTAAAAATCCGAAATGTGTTTTAAACTCTTTAAGCTTTCTGCTCTGATTGAACAGCTCGAAGCCCTTGTTCTGTGTTAGTAAGTCGAGATGTTGTCAAGCCCCTCACGGATGGATTTTTCCAGGGTTTGTGGCCCACACTGGTGGAGATTCAGGGTCGGGGAAAGTCAGGCCTGCAGAACCTGCATGAGCTGACGATGCAATTTGAACGAATCCCGACCTTCAGCATCTTTAATAGTCTTAGCAGTTTCCGGTGCCATTTCAACTCACTCACAAATTAAACAGTTCTGGGTTCCATCAACACTCGCACAGCAAGCGGAAAACAGTACTGTATGACAAAAAGTGAGTTTTTAAGGCCTCGACTGGAGCTAAAGTTCCACTCATGTCTACTCGATAGCGCCCCCCTGTGTTTTCAACTCTGACTTTGAACCAGTTCGGTAGCTATTTTAGAGTAAGTATTGGTATCAGTACTCGATCTTAGCAGATACTTAAGGATAAGACAGCATTGCTTGGTTTCACAAGGGAAAAGGTGGTATTAGTGCATGCTTACAGTGTTTAGTTTAAACTGGGACACTTATTGGCTATGCTTGAATTGATGAAATGAAAACGTACTGAACTTTTCATCATGTTTAGGTGTGTAACGTGCTGTAATTGTGTATGTGTGTTTTGTGTGTGTGTGAGAATACCTTCACCTCTGTTGTGACAGGAGAGATTTAAATACCCAGAATACTTTTGGAGAGGGCTTTTAGTCCAAAGTGATAAATGGAAGATGATTCAGCACTTCTGACTTACACAGTACACCGTGTGTGTGTGTGTGTGTGTGTGTGTGTGTGTGTG